TATCATTGCCGCAAAAACAAGTATCAAGAGATCCAGGAGAAACTCACCCCGAGTTCCAGCTACCAGGTTGCTTTCTTAACCAGAAGAAGATGAGCTAGAGAGGGTTTTCAGGAGTTGAGGAGTTTGGCGGAACAGTAATGGCGGAGGTGTGTGAGAGAGAGAGAGAGAGAGTCCACGCAAGGGTAGAGAGATATCTGAGAGGAGAATAGTGGGGAGAGAGAGAGAGAAGTGCAGGGTTTAGAGAAGAGGGAGAGAGCAGTTCCAGTGAAAACTCCTGCACACGGCACACACCGCACACCCCACCCCATGAACACAAAAAAAAAGGGAAATGGGTGTTCCGAATTTCACCGCTTCCAGCAGTTTCTCCCTATTACTGTTGTCAATTGGATTCCATGAACGATCTTGCGTTTTGAAAACCCAAATTTGTTGGTGCCAAACTCAATAACAACCTCGGGCCAACATATGCGGCGAATTAAAGTGCTTGACAACTTTGAATTTTAAAAATCCGAACTTAAAGAGTAATTTGAGAAAAAAACTTCAACTTTTTTCAAAATGTGTAATATTTCTAACTGAAAAGGGATTTTAGCAATAACAGTTAATCAAAAGGATACGGATATAATTTTCTCAACAAAAAAAAAACAAGAAGTTGTAATCCTTTCATCTAAGACGATTGAAAAATTTGCATTTTACATCACCAGTGAATTTGAAATCCATTTCATTGTAACAGATATCGACATTACATGTTCCTTTTCAATAACCGAAGGAACATGGTCACAATAGTCTAGGGATCATGGCCAAGATTCATCGTGCGTCTATGTACAATATCAACCCCGGTAAACATAGCTAACATGAGCTTCCTACAAGAGTACATTATACTAGAGGCTGTGGTTTCTTCTCTGCTTCAGTCATAGACTATTGTTTCAAAAGCAACTTAATGTGAATAGAAAAATGAGTTACTAACTAGCTTCAAATTCTAAATGTTGAAGCACAGATACACCTTCGCCATATTATTCTTTTGATATGAGATATTTTTCTTCATGTCTCGAAGTACATTCGTCTTAAGAGTTCAATTTATGGTTCATTTTCAATTTCCTGGCCTGAGTTTTAAGAGCTGCAATATCTTTTTTAGTTGGGAAGGGAAAAATTGTGTCATAAATATATAATAACAAGATAATCAATCTACTATCACTATAACAATGAAATGATCAGTTTCATATTTTTTAAAACTCAAGCTCAACATAAAAGAATAAAATCATTTATGCTAACATCTTAATGCTTGCTTCAACCCATACAATGTTCTTTAACCCACAAAACAAATTACCGTTTCTCAACAAAACCTCAAGTTAGGTCATAAAAGTTTATTCTTTTGGTTCATCATGCAAGAAAGGAGTTAACTGCATCTAATTCTTCCATATCTAAAGCAAATATAGCTGAATTATCCCCAATAACAAAGAAAAAAAAAAAACCGCAAAATGTCATTGAAATTAATTCCTGCATTTTGATTGATGTAAACACCCTTACTTATTCTGAATTGCAAACCTGAAATATATTTTTCACCAAAATCTCTTGTTTTATGTTTGGAACCCAAAATGAGAAAGTGTTAAGTATTGGTATCAACTTCGGTGGTCCAAACTGAATAATGACGCTCCACTCAATTTTCTTTGCTTAACACATGAAACATATTTATTTATTTAGTTCTACGATTTCCATAAACTATTTAAATATACTTTTGTAACTTAGCCTACTCATATTATTAACGGAATTACTTAAAGGGTATGGTTTGTAGAAGGTTGAAGCTCTAAACAATCAAACTCAGGCGTACGTTTAAACTGTATCGAAAGATGAATTTTCATAACCAAAAATTTCTGTGATGGCCTAAAATTTTATTTTCATATATAATTATAAAATTTAAAGCTTCAAAAACAATGTAGATTGAATAAATCTATAAGCACTTGAAAATATTAAAAATTGACGGCTAAAATAATGCATTACAAGATGCACTATTTCCTTGACTCGTAATCCATATTTTTTACGTTTATACATCTTGAGGTCGAGATGATTGATTTAAGGGTTTTTCAACATCAAAACAACCACTTTTAGTAAATTTTTGAGGTATGCTTTTAATTGATTGTTTCAAGCCTCATCCTTATATAAACTGTTGCGTGACTTAAATACTCCTAAAGTCCTAATTGTTTAAGATTCTAACTTCGTAACAAAGGCATTGACTTTTTTTTAACAGATCAACTAAGGAAGTACTCGACTAAATCACTAAATTTGACCAACATGATGACTTTTTAAAGTGGTTCGACCATGATAATAGTGTTTTTCAAAAAAAACACATTTTTTTACAAAAGCACTTGAGCTCGACTAAGTTTTTCAAAACCCAGATTCGTGGGGTGGATCGTTTATGCATAAATCCGTATCGAATCACATATTTGATCTAAAAAATGTAAATAAAGAAATAAATGAAGTTTATTGGCTAAGGAGATCTAAAAAAACCAAAAATATAAGAGAAACTCATTGAAGACCGATACCATTCCAAAACCGATTTGCTCTTGACTTTTGATTGATTCTCATCTAAATAGATGATCTAGGTCAGAAACCACTAGCTTTTTAAGTAGTGGGCTCAACCGATGATACCAAAAGCAACTACTTCTAGCAAAAGACCAGTCTTTCACATGTACCTAGTAACATCATATTACATGAACGAGGCAATTATCTTTTTATATAGGTTCCAAAATTATAGTGAAATCTAGAGTACATTTAGTACACGTAAAAGTACTTTTGTGAAAATAATTTTACATTAAAAAAAAAAAAAACTCCATTATAGAATTTTTTAACACCACTTAGTTCCATACTCCTCGCGCATTTTTTTACGCCAATTAACTTTCGCGCCTAATTAACGTTGGGAAAAAAACCTTCGGCGCCTAATAACGTGGGAGTTCTTTAACGTGAAGATACTTTCACGAAAATATTTTCACGCGTAATAGAACGTAGCCCTGAGGAAAACACAGTCCTTCCAATTGACTTGTATAAAAGGCCTTCAATTTCTTGCGCATCAGTCTCTTTAACGTGGAACCCCTCTCTATGTATCATCAATTGTTTCTTTTCCCTCTTTGTTTTGTTGTTCCTGCAAATTCAGGGAAGGATTCGAATTCGTGGATGGATTTCTCTAATTTTTGGAGCGACTCATCTACTTTCTTGACCTAAAAGGAAGCTCGGCCTCTTTATTGGTACCTCTTTAGCCTTAACTCTTCGCTGAGCATTTGCATATTTATTTCTGATTAGGTCATGCAGTTATGAAAATAATCTCTGCTATTTTCTCTGTTAATTGTACTGAATCTCCTTGCTTTGAAGATTATCTGTGACTCCTTTTATGGTTTAATTTGGGAGCTATATTCAGTTTCCCAATTTTAAGAACGCTCTATTGAATGGATGTAGTGGAAGTGAAGTACCTTGTAAATTGGGGAATTGGTCCAGTGGTTATCAAGCGAGGACTGCATTTGATTAATCTTGAGGATTTCTAGTTATGTATTTATTTCGGGGTTCTCATTGGGTTTATAGAGAACTGTGTTCGTGAATGCTAGTATGAATGTTGTATTCTTACTGGTCTCTAAAGAATGGCTCGTTATTTAGTTTAATACACATTAGAGTGTTTCTAACCATCAATAGCTTAGCATGCTGACTCTATGCTTTTTATGGATGGATATGAAATGTTTTATGAGTTACATTATGCATTCTCGAAACCGGTCATTCACACCATCAACTGATAAATTGGTTTTATGGGTTTATTCATAGCAGTTATAATGAGACGCCAAATATTCTCTGATAGAGATTTTGATAGAAACCCAATGTCAATTTTGTAGAAACGAAAATCAATCCATGAAACAAGAAATAAGAAACAAATACAAAAGAAAGAGACAACCAAGCACAACGCAAAGATATACGTGGTTCGACAATGTGCCTACATCCACGGGGAGATGAGAGCTTCTTTACTTGCAATGGAAAATAGGGTTACAATGGTTCTCTTCCAACCTCACACCTCTCTCTGTTTTCGTATTACAAAGAAATCTACATTTTTTCTTAACCCTGAAAAAAACCCCCATCGCAACAATATATATAGTCCCAGGCAGATAATATAAATTACCAAAATACCCCATGTACAGATTACCTCAAGCCTTTTGGGCTTTTAACAGCCCTCTGGAGTCGTTCCTTTGACTCCACCTTGGCAGATCTATTTTCTCAGAATACAAGACATCAATTCTCAATAATCTTCACCTTGGCTTGAATTTTGTCGAGCCACCTTGAAGATAACCTGAAGATGTTTTTATCCCTGTACCTCCATAAAGGTACGCGAGTGCACTCCCACCTGCCACGGGTGCCTCCTACACTCTCAATAATGAGTGACATTAAGCAAGTCCAAGTAAAGTTTGAACTTCTCCGTAGTGACTGGCTTAGTGACTGGCTTTGTAAGTATATTTGCAGGGTTGTCATTCGTATAAATTTTCTTCAAGTGAATGATTATTTTTATACAAGCTCCCTAATCTTGTGAAACCTCGCATCAATGTCCTTTGTCCTTTCATGAAACACTTGATTCCTTACAAGATTTATGACACTCTGACTATCACAATGCAGCACAGTGCCTTCTTGCTCCAACCCCGACTCACAAACCAAACCATTCAACCAGATCGCCTCCTTTATAGCCTCAGGTGCTGCCATGTATTCTGCCTCTATCGTAGACAAGGCAACCGTGGATTGAAGCATTGCTTTCCATGAAATAGGTCCTCCCGCTAGTGTGAATACGTATCCTATAGTAGACATTCGCTTGTCTAAATCATCAGCATAGTCGGAATCGACATATCCCACTATTTCTGTAGAGCTTCTCTTCCTGCTGAACATAATTCTGAAATCTGACGTCCCCCTCAGATATCTAAAAATCCACTTAATTGCATTCCAATGCTCCCTAGCAGAATTACTCTTTTATCGACTAACAACGCTGACAACCTGAGATAAATCCGGCCTGCTACAAACCATAGCATACATGAGGCTTCCGACTGCACTAGCATAGGGCACCAGAGACATCTGCTCTATCTCTTCATTCGTAGTGGGACACTGTTGTTCAATAATTTGAAATGACTCGCCAATGGAGTGTTAACTGACGTGGCATTTTTCATGTTGAAACGCTCCAACAGCTTTTCAACATACCTTTTCTGAGTTACCCAGAGTTTATCTGCACTTCTATCTCTATGAATCTTCATACCAAGGATCCTATTAACAGCCCCTAGATCCTTCATATCAAACTCAGCACTTAACATAGACTTGAGAGAGGTTATGTCATATGCATTCTTGGCAACGATGAGCATGTCATCAACATAAAGCATCAAGAGAATAAATGAATTATTATCAAGAACTTTAAAATAAACACAACAATCATACTCACTTCTTGAATAGCCAATCCCCATCATGAAAGAGTCAAAGCGCTTGTACCACTGCCTGAGAGATTGTTTAAGATCGTAAAGCAATCTCTTGAGCAAGCAAACTTGATCTTCCTTTCCATGCACTTTGAAGCCTTTAGGTTGCTCCATAAATATTTGTTCTTCCATGTCACTATGAAGAAACGTTGTCTTCACATCAAGCTGTTCTAGCTCCAAATCAAACATGGCTACTAAAGCAAGTAATACCCTTATTGAAGTGTGCTTGACAACCGAAGAGAATATTTCATTGTAGTTCACTCCCTCTTTCTAAGCGTAGCCTTTTGCTACGAGCCTAGTCTTGAATCTCTCACATTTTTTTTATGTTGTTGCCTCTTTCTTCCGAAAGATCCACTTACACCCAATCACTTTTCTTCTCTTAGGCCTCTTGACAAGCTCCCAAGTCTATTTTACGGCCCTCCAGAGTCGTCCTTTTGACTCCACCTTAGCAGATCTATTTCCTCAGAATACAAGACATCAATCCTCAACAAATTTACTTTTATGTTCACAACTGGGTTCATTTTTTGTTTTTCTATGCATGATGATTTTGAAAATGGGCTCACCTATCTTTGTCCAGTACATTGGAAACATGTGTAGAAGTTACAAGCGACTGAAATTGATTATGTCGGCTGCCATATCTGGGCATCATATGTCATGTTCAAACAATTCCATGGCCATGAAACCAAGGTTGATGGGGTTAGGAAAGGTCAAAGGACGTCTTAGATCATCATCCATGTCTTGTGAAGACAACAGAGCTTGTTAACCTTGAAACGAAAATCTCACTTCTCTTGCTTAGACGACTCAAGACATGAGCTTGTGGTTGACCCATATTATGTTCAAATATGAAAGGTTTCCGAATTCCCTCTTGGATTGGAAGGTAAGTTGAAGATGTGCATTGGATTTACATGGTTTTTTATTTTTTTGATGTCGGACTACTTGCATCAAGGACCTACTTCATATCTTTGAGCTTGTCAGGCCTTTTCCTGTTGTAAATGAAGATGAGTTTTGGAGGGTAAACGGATTCACCAGCTGTTTTTTAGTAGCTCAGCGGTAGGAATTAAACTAGGGACACGGTGTTGCAACCATCAACATGGCAACAAATAACAATTCAAGGCCAACCCCCATTTTTACTGATTAAAGTTTTTTAAATTGCTCTTGCTGAAAAGTACAAGTGACATAACTGATGACAATCTCAAGAATGAAAGTAGAGCTCACTCTGAACAAAGCCCTTGTATACAAGAATACGTGGAATTTATATGGCTAAATGTCTATACTATATGATTGGCAGTTGTGCTTATTGACAAATTAACTTCGCAAAACTGTGCTGAGAGTGATTCCTGATGATCATATTAGAGTACACCAATCTTTGTGATCTGTGTGTGTGTGTTTCACTTTGAAATAATGGTTTACTTTTCTATATAGGTAAGGAGTTGAAAACATGAAGTTAAGAATGGTGTCCCACACTTGGGGCGCTCTTTGTAATGTTGGTATCCGAGACCTTCTAAAGTCCGAATATTTGAAACCTCGGCATGGTTAATGGCTTAGTTCACTTCCTAAAGACATGCGAAGAATGGTTTTCGTTGTTTATTTTTTTCGGGTAGTTCAGCGGTTGGAGTCAAACTTGGGACCTAGCGTTGCATTTGACAACAGCTAAAACAAGGGAGTACTTTTTCTTTATGTTATACCGATCTGCAGGATTATTTTACTAACACTTTTTTGACAACTTGGTGCAGGATTAGAGAGATGGAACAACCAATAGAGTTGGAAGCAACCCCTGAGTCCGAAAAGATGCTTGAGGAACAGTTGTCATATGCTATGAGAATAGACCCCACAAGAGAGCGCTTCCCATGCTGCATAGTTTGGACTCCTCTTCCCATAATTTCATGGTTTGTGCCCTTCATAGGCCACATTGGCATTTGCAGAGAGGATGGCGTCATCTTGGACTTTGCAGGACCAAACTTGGTCAGTGTAGACAACTTTGCATTTGGTGCTGTTGCCAAATACATCCAACTCAACAGATCACAGGTATGATAATATCTTTTGCTCTTGTTGTTCCCTCTTTATAGCCAATTTAACAGATCATGGGTATGATATTTATTTATTTTTCCTCTTGTTGTTCTCTCTTTATAACCAAATACATCCAATCTCTGTTCCCTTCATCCTGTCTCTTTGTGGTTTATTCTATTGTTTTTAAACGAATTTCAGTGCTGCTTTCCTCCAAACTTAGCTGGGAATAAATGCGAGCCTGGTGAGAAGCACATGGACTCGGGGACAGTAACAACATGGAATGAGGGGCTTAGGATGGCCATATGCCAATTCCAACATCGATCTTACAATATCTTTACTTGCAATTGCCACTCTTTTGTCGCCAACTGTCTAAACAAGTTATGTTATGGTGGGCATAATGGGTGGAATGTGGTTAACTTGGCTGTTTTCATCTTTTGCAAGGGTCGCTGGGTGAACAAATTGGCTATTGCGAGATCTTTCCTGCCCTTTGTTTTAGTGTTATGTGTAGGTCTTGTGTTGGCTGGCTGGTCCTTCTTGTTGGGCTTGGCTCTCTTCTCCTTTGCCATTGTGGGGTGGTTTCTCTTTGGTACTTGCTGCTTCAAGAAACTGATCCAGTTATAGTCTCCTAAGGGCGAACCTTGTCATGGATCATGTGGTGTTTCTTTGTCGATCAGTGTTGCACTTCTCTATTTTGTCCGGTTTAAAAGTCTATCATGTGACCTAAAATGATGAAATACTTGAGTCTTCACATATTGAATGTAGAAATTATATAGTAATCTTTATGATGTAATCTTCCTCTTCACCTCAGCCAAGAAGCCTAGAGGTGTAGAAGCCATGGGCTTCGTGTGTTTATTGATGAGAACCATCTCCATGGAGCTTTCCTTTGGAATATCTCTATAACCTACACCATCTCCTTCTGTTTGGAGGATCAACCAACTCTGAAATGTGATGTATTTCTGTTGGGGCCCATAAGCCATACATGATGCATATGTAGTATGGGATGGGATATGAACTGGACATCCATGGTCCATCCTCATCAATGGATGGTGGAGATGTCACTGTTCCACTGATGGATTTAAAAGCAGAATGCAGAACACTGGCTCAACCGCACAACTCCATTACACCGGATGGCTGGTGTGTGGGTAAATTATACAAGCAGCATGTGTGAATATATCTTCGTCTTCTATCCTGTTTGATAGTACTAGACAACTTTTCCATGTTTCTCAAAATTACAGCCATCACAGGTTTGATACTCGATTACTCACCGTATGATGCCGTGCGGCTTGAGATTCAGATTGAAACAAAAAGAAAAAGAGTAGCCCCAAGCTTACCTGTTAGGAATACAATAGTATGTTTAGCTCTGTTACATCACCTTATTTTGTATAAATAGTTCCAAATATCACAGAAAAAGTAAGCATCATAGTAGGGTCGTAAAACCTACTGAACTATCTTCCTTTCCTCCACCAAATGCAGGAAATAAAGACAAATAAGGTATGGCGCAGCTCTGAATCTTGCTAAAAGATGCAGTTTCCGTGCCAAAAAAGACAAATAAGGTATGGCGCCCCTCTGAATCTTGCTGAAAGAGGCAGTTTCGGTGCTATAGATCCTTATGATGACCTAAAATTTTTTTTACAACCCTATATATAAATTTAAAACTCCAAAAATGGCAACGATCAAGCAAAATCTATGAACATTGAGAAATTTTGAAAATGGTCTGTCTAGATAATGTGTTATCATGCACGTTATTTTTAGGACTTGAAATATTTTTTTTTCATATCTATATATCTTAGAATCGAGATGATCAAATGTGAGATTTTTTTTATATTGAAACAACCTTGAGGTGCACGTTACTTCTCCAATATAAGGTGGCTAGTTCCTTATATATAAACTTTTTCCATTCTAAAAAGAACAATTTACCCTATTGGCTATATGTTTTCATTCAATTATGTGAAAATAATTAAAGCTAGCAACTTTAAACTATTCAAAAAATAAAATCTATTCAGAAAATAAAAAATAAGTAATAAATTGTTATTGAAATTATGAAAAAAATGTAATTAGATAATATAAAAAGTTCATATCTCTTAGGTGGGTCAAGCTACTTAAATGGGCCTACTTGTTCAAGGCTTTCAGGGTCATTTGGTAGTTTTGAAGATACTGTTCTTTTTGAAAAGATTCTTTAGTCAAATAAAAACTAAAAACAATCCCTCTAATGTTAATTGGGAGCTTTTTTATCTCTTTAATTATTTTGTAGTAATGATATTTCCCCAAAAATAATTGAAGACTATGCTTCATAAGGCACATGTAAAAAGTGAGTTATAAAAAAAAAACACCTTTTGGAAGTCGAAATTGGCTGATAGGGTCCAACATAATTAATTTTGTAAACATTATTGGCCATTATATAAAGGACACGGCTTCTATGTGGCCAGCCCGCATGTGGTAGAAATGCGGGCTTTGTCAATAAATATATTTTTAAAATATAATTTGATCTTAATTTTTAGAGGAGTAATGGTCTTATGAGACCCTCTCACATCCATGTGTATAGGATTTCAAATGATTACCATTAAATTTGACACAGATCTCTAAAAAAGTTATCACATGAGCGTGAGACTTGACTTTTCTAGAGATCTGTGCCAATTTAATGGAGATCTTTGGGGGTGTATATATATGGGTGTGGGAGGGTCTCACAAAGTCATTTCCCTTTTTAGAGAATATATAATTTTTAACATAGAGATCAAGAATTTGAAAAAAAAAAAAATAGAATTTGAAAACTAGAAATAATAATTATATTAAGCAAACTTTTGGATCATTAGTTACACTTTTTTTGAGATGGACCACTAGTTTGCATCCATCTTTAAGATGGATGCCCTATACCTCTGGACCGCATATTGTAGAAATGCGGTCTAGCCCGCATCAAACAAATTTCGTTATATAAATGGCATAATTGCTTACATGTTAAATTTCTAGCATAATTGCGGACATGTTAAATTTCTGTTAACAATAGTAATTTACACATATACCCTCTTAAATTTAACAAATTTTTCATGTTATTATGGCTATACTGAATTTGCTCACACAATTTCTAAGAATATTTCGGAATTTGAAAATCTTAAGTATTTTAGTTGAGCAAATACTTTTGTTGGACAAATAATTAAAATTTTTTCAGTTTGACCAAACTTCAAAATTTCGAAGTATTTGCTCAACTAAAATAACTACAAATTTCAAATTCCAAAGTTTTGTTAGTCCTCCTTGCAGGCTTCACTGATTGGGTGTATGTATAAATTTTAAACTTCCGATTCTCAAAATCCTAAGTAGGGGCAATGTAGTTATTTTAGAAAATTATGAACAAATTGGGTACAAAAGTAATAACATAAATTTTTTAGTATTTTTTTTAAATAGTGGGGTTTTAAAAGGATATACATATAAATTACCCTTTAAAAAATCGATGTTATATCCAATAGGACGTTTTATGAGAGGGAAATGTTTTTGCATGGTTAGTGTCACGATTGAACTGCAGCCCACAAACTCCATTTTGGAAATGGATTGAGGATCCAAAACACCAACAAATTTATTTTTTACTCGTTGAATTTGGAAAATGGTTCACCTTATTGCAAAAATGAATAGTCCGAAGAAAATGTTCTCTCTTGCTATTGCAAATCCAATTATTACATTTTCCTTAAATGAATAGTCTGAAGAAATAAAAAATAAAAAAGTACTGCAAGATAGAAGATTTTCCTTATTGCAAATCCAATTATTACATTTTCCTTAAAATGAATAGTCTGAAGAAATAAAAAATAAAAAAGTACTGCAAGATAGAAGATTTTCCTTATTGCAAATCCAATTATTTAGATCCCTGAATGTAGAGGTCCAGGGATAATGCGAGATGGACCATCTTCCAAACTCCAAATCCAAATTTTGTAGAGGGCTAGCGATTGCTTACTGGGGGGACCGTACCATGTTTTTGAGTTTGAGTTTAAAACAATGAACTTACCCCTGATTTCATAGCAAGGCCTAAAATGTCTAAACCATCACTCGTTTTTTATGGACTAGTAAATGAAGAGATTATTTATTTTTGATACAAATATGTCACACTCAAAGCTGTCCGATTTCAAATCGGGTGGTTGTGAATATGTCTTTAATTAGACTCAAAATTCAAATAAAATTTATTGAATTTCGTGACACACCCCAAAGCATCCAATTCGACACATCTAATGGACCCTCTCTCCCTCCCTCGACATCTCCAACGAACCATAAGATACCTATGCATCGCTTAAATTGGTTCAATCACCAACCTTGAACCCATTCACGAAAGGAAACTGAAGATTTTCACCTCTTAGGGGGGAGACAGATGCAGGGAGGGTCCATGCTTGGTTAGGGTTCTAAATTGAATGAGGAAAAAATTGATTAGGGTTCCGAACTTGGGGGATTTAGAGTTTTTAGCTTTTCTACCTCTAGATAGACTATAAAAAGGTTATAGTCTTATATATTATAAACTCTTGAGGATATATCAAACTGAGTAGGTTATCAACAATGTCTATTGTTATATATTGTTTACAATTCATAATGGAAGTTTCTATAAGGCCTACGCTTTATGAAAACAAAATAAAGCCTCACCTCAAATCCTCATTTGAAAAGCACTTTCGGCAAAAGAAATCTCCATGCTTGCTCTACAATATATTTTCAATACCAATAATAAAATTTAAAACTCAAAAAATATTACAGATCTTGCAGATCTATGAAATGGACGGTCTAGATAATTTGTTACAATCTACACTATTTTTAGAGCTTGAATTTTTTTTTTTTGCATAACCATAATGTTCAAGCTAAGATGATCGATGTAAAGGTTTTCCAATACTTAATCGCAATTTCGATGAGTTACGAGATGAGACTTTACTTATTTTAATAAGATTGCAGCTCTATCAAATCATTTCCTTTTATAATATATTGACAATGAGCTATAATAATGGTCTATGGTAAACTTGCTGCTGGAACAACTCGAATGTTTAACTTTACATGTATTACTTTGATTCAGAGCACTTGTTTGGTAAGCAAATGTGCCCATATCATGTTGATTGTTCGTTGTTGTTTTGAGTAGATTAGCAATAAGAATCGAACTTGAGATATAGCATTGCCGATGTTAACTACTAACCACTCAAGACCACACTAACCGGCGCATGCATGATTATACCATGAACACACGAATTATGCAATAATTTCACTTTCCCATTGAGTGGTATTGTCTTTATGGGAATATAATACGGAAAAGGTTTCTATACTTCTCCTACAACATAGAAAATCTATGCTTCCATTACCATCCAGCCGTCCAATTTTGATCAAGAGAGCCATTCACCATTTAATCTTAGATCCGATGTCTCAAAGTATTTTAATTTTATTTTATTTATACAAATTGTATGAATATGAAATTTGGTACGTGTCATCTTCTTATTGGAGCGCAATTTCAAGGGTATTTTAGTTATTTTATTTTATTAAAAATATTTTTTTTATATACTTTTCACTAGTGCGAGTTTAATAGAGGATTGGACATCCAAAATTTGGTATCAAAATAGTTTATAAAAAAAAATTAAAAATAAAATAGTATAGAGACATAACATTATGATTGGGGCAATCTTAACCCTCAATTCAGAATGGACGGTTGGACAGGAGGAAGTATATAAGTTTTATGCTATAAGAGAAACATAAAAAGCTTGCCTATGCAAAAAAATATGTTTATTAGGGTAGGTAGTTAGGTACAACGGCAATGAGTTTTTTAATAGGCCTTATGAGAAGGACGGCAATATGTTTATTAATGGTAGAAGGACTAAAATTTATGACAACGGCATTTCTACATTTACAGTAGTCCCTAAGGTATAAAGCATCTATCTTTATAGCATTCATCTTAAAGATGGATGCAAATACATGGTTCATCTAAAAAAAATTGAAATTAAAGGTCCATATGTTTTCTTAATTGAATTATTATTTCTAATTTTCAAAAATTAGTTATTTATTCATATTCATGATCTCCATATATGTTCTTAAAAATTAAGTCCACAAATCAATCTCAAAAATAGATTTTTAAGGGGCGACTCATTTCTACATAGACTCATAAAAACCGAGTCCATTATTGAATTGTTCAGCCTAAAGTTATGTTTTTTTCCATCTTTGATCGAACAATTGGGCACGGTATGATGTATGTGTATATAGTTTGCTCTTTTTGGTTTTTTTTTTTTGAAATATTACGAGTATTTCATTAAGATATTGAAGGTGTGACAGGATAGCCAAGAAAAAAAAAAAAGAAGAAGAAAAGAAGGAGAGGGATAAGAGATTAAAGGGGATCTAGTTTGCTGCCCTTCTCATTTCTAAAAGAAGGAGAGGGATAAGAGATTAAAGGAGAGGGATAAGAGATTAAAAATTGGCCGTTGGTCCGACCGGTCGTTGAATAGTGCTACTTTTTAGAAGAATGTAAGCATTTAAATTTTGGTGATTTAGAAAGAGCGTGTATGCATTACTCACTTGGGCAAGATACATGCTTGCTTGGGATAATTTTTCGATCTCAATTTTTGGGAATCATCTAATAATTGTTAGATGATTATTTTCAAAAGAAAAATTTTGGATTTTGAGCTTTTTAACATTTAGATCTTACTCTTCAAGAATTAGACGGTCTCTATTTAATCTTGAAGCGTTATTTTTCCAAGCGCACATATTGTGCAATTCACCAAAAAATAATAATTAATATTAGCCTATAGGTTTAAAAGGCCTAAATTGGTTTTATTTTACGAGGTGATGGACTGTACTCCCATGGAAGTACAAAATCTTCAGGCATTTAGAAATTTTTAATTGTCTAACATTCTCAAATCAAATTAAAAACAACATGCTCAAAACATTAACTCATAAAAACATGATTTTCTTCGGGTGAACTCGTCGAAGTTCCGATTCTGTGAGGGACTTGGACTCGCTCTCCACAATTTCTGAGCTAGCTTGAGGACTTGTAAAATAATGATTAAAAGCATTTACATTGCTAAGCCCTTGTGCATGAGTTTTTCCAGGGATGACAAATAACTTGTTCTAGTTAGAAAAAAAATATGAAAAAAAATATGAAGAAAAAGAACATATATGAGTGCAACACAGTGTTTCAAAATCCAACAATCCAAGTTAGAAACTCCCAATCTAGATCTGGTTTGGTAGGTAGGCGATCCACGATTGTAACTCCTGTAATTGCCAAAAGGTACACCAATTTTCTTAAATTTTGATTTTATTATTATTTGGCTGATTCTTAACGGTCCCGATCACAAGTCCATTCAATCGAACCGGTACAACCGATGGCCGGTTAGTAGGGCATTTTGCGTGACCGGTCAATGTGAAAGCCGGCAAAATGGCGTTGAAGCATTTGAGGACCAGCACTCATCCACTTGCTCAATAGAAAATGGACCTTGACCCCTTCTCAAACGAATCCTTAGCCCTTAAGGTAGCTTATAGTACACTATACTTAAATAATCCATATCATTTTCCATATTTCTTAATGGATCTTCATTTTTTATGAACATTTTATATGATCCCCATATTCCTCACTATTAGCTGTATTATTTTTCTAACAATTTAAGAAATCGAATGCAGTAATTATTTTATTCCTTTTCAAGAACAGTTGAGGAAATGCTGATTTTGAATAGCACTAATAACATGGATGTTAGTCCATTTTGATAAAAAATAAAAGTAAATTTATTATAATACCAATAAGAGATGAATTATTATATTATGCGCATTTACAACGATTCCAGATGAGCACCATGTACGAAAATATCGTCATGACCCCAAAACTCTCACTTATTTCATAGTTGGTCGTTATCTTTTATCCCAATAAAGTGGCAGTAAGAAGTTTACCAAATTTCATTCCACTCCCTCCAAATACTTTTTTTTTATTTCGGTAAATCAGTGAGAGAGAATGTCCTCTATCTATTTTTCATTAACTAAAAATAAAAATTTGCATCATACTATAGTACATCTCTACAATAGAGTAGTTGTGCCAAAACATGAAATAAAAAAAGATTAAGAATATATGAAGGCTTGGAGCTCCAAACTCCCACCAAATATTCACACCATCATTTTCTACTTTAATCCTCGTTAAGTGCCCTAAACTTATTCTTGTGACCCTTAAATTCATCTATCTCTGCCCTCTTCGTTTTTAATTTTTCAAGGTTATGAGTATCATCTAAGAATTAGCTTGGGGCACTTAATGAGGATTAAAATAAAAAATGATAATTGAGACATTTAGAGGGGTTGGAATGAAATATTTGTAACTTCTTAATGCCACTTGACATGGATAAAAGGTAGGGAGTCACCATAAAATAAGTGACATTTTTAGGCGCCATAGCGATATTTTCCTATTTTTATGATATTTATTAGTCAATTATAAATTTTCAAAGCATAAATAACCTCAACAACAATATGAAATAATAACCTACTTATACATCTAATTTAAACGGTTTCCACCCTCTAGAATTACGGGTGGCAACTGGTCAGGTTGGGTCCAAGTTCGGTAGGATTCGACCCAAAAATTAAAATATCGATGTATTTAATTATATTTAAATATATTTCATATATTGTGGCTCAAAAAAAATTACTCAAATCCGATCTGGATCTGGATCCAATTGAACCCAGACCCAAATAGTATTTGGGTCCCATATTTGAATCCCAACATGTCAGGTTGAATTTTTGGACCTACACTTAAATCCGGATCGAGCCTATCTCGGGTGGGATCCGCGTCCATAGTCCCGATCTAGAAGATTTGGTGTGGTCCCATTGATAATTCCAAATGCATACAGCAAGGAAACGTTGGAATCTTTGCTGAGTGGCTCATCGTCCTTTTGGCGCCTTTCCACTTTACTCTTTCTCTTTATTCCCACGTTCCCCTCGCTATAAAATTACAACCTCTAAATTTGGTCTAATTTCTCAACAGTTTATTATTGCATTCGAAAATTGACGGTGGTGATCTGAATTCGCTTGAGTCGGTTGACAAATAGTTTATCGTCTTTAAAAATTTGCCGACTTAATTTGAAACCGCCGGCTCTGGATCAGCAGTGTCATAGTTTCAAATTTCTTCGAACCAAAAGTTCACCGTATTTGTGAGGGAGATTGTATATAATGAGATTATTTATTTTTTTTTATATAAAAATATCATAATTATATATAACTTATTTTGAGTGAAATTTGATAGTTTGGATGTGAAACTTGTTTGATCAATAGAATAAATATAATTATTTTATTTTACATTCAATAATTATGAATTTAAGATCAATTATGATCATATCAAAGATAAATAATCTCATTTTTTTGTTAAAAGAAATCAAAAATAATTTTTTTGAAATTTATTTTAAAAAATATATTTAATAAATTATGGTGGTTTTATGACGCTCTTTCCGAGATAGGAATAGCGAAGCCCAGACAAAAATGTGCGGGTTCCGTTTGCGACACACTTTGGGCGTATAGTATTTTATACGGTCGACTATTGACCGTTGGTTAATAAGATCGGACGGTCCATGGGCCGCATGAGGTGTTATTACACTCTCAATAGGCGTAACGCATTTTGCTTTTCGCACCTATATATGTCAGCACCGCAAGAGAGCACGCATTCCTTTGTGCTCTTTTGCTGGTCTGCAAACTTAGGGCTTTTCTTTAGAGAGAGAAAGAAGAAAAGGGAAGAAGATGGAACAGGTAGGAGTTATAATCCCTTGCCACACCAAGGAGGAATTTGATCAGCAGCTCCAAAAGGCCATCGAATCCAAGAAGCTGGTAATGCACCTTTCATTCCCCCTCTGCAATTTCTCTTTTCTTCTGAAATTTCTTTAGAGAGATAGAGAATAGTAGTTGATGGTATTGGCTCAGGGGCCATTTAGATGCTGACCATGGTGCTCTGATGTGCTTTTGTTTTGTGAGTAACTAGGGTTTCCTCATATTTTATTGATGTACATTCCATTAAATTTATTCATGCTGTTTTTTTTTTTTTGTTAAATATATCAGTCTCATTTTGAATTTTTATTCATTTCTTGAGCATTTTGGTTGATCGTGATTCTGAATGATCGGATTGCTATTCTTATTGTTCTGACAATGGGATTGTTAGCATGGTAGAAATGATGATTGTGTTATTTATTTTATTTAGAACATGTTATTTGATTTGTTGTTTATCTCCTGACTCTTCTGATTCCTTGAACCGTCTTGTCTATTGTGAATTGGGCTATTAGAGAAGAGGACAAATTGTGAGACCGGAATCATGAAAGATGACAATATTGTAGATCTTAGTGTAGGGGAAAACTTTTATGCAGGAAACAATTCAGAGAAATCCAAAACAGGGAAAATACCAAGATAGAGCATATAGTAAGAAAGACTAACAATTTATTATCAATATCATTAAAAATTATACATAAACTATTATACATTGATTTTGTAAAATATGTATTTTTTATTTTTAATTTTACTTTGTATATGTCCGAGTTCGTACATCTGAGACAAATCTGCCGCTTGTTTTAAAATATGTTGGCATCGATTTTTCAAACTTCTAGGTTCTTATTGTGGCTTACTGTAGATTTTTATTTGGGATTTACCTCTCCTCATGCTTATCTCCTATGAATTTTATCCTTCATTGATAGTCAATCGTTCAGTTATCTCTGTTCATGCAGTGGGTTGCATGTATCACATTATCGTTCATCATCATTGGTGATCACTTTTTCATTGACCCTAATCTTACTGCCTTGTGTTGTTGTCCTTCCTCGCAAGCTCTTGGTGTTAGAGATATTGAGGGGTTATTTTAGGATGCTTTTCATTTTTATTTGTTCTCTTTTCGTCTGACAAATAATGCCTTTTTTCTATGAATTCAAGCTTCCTGTTTATTTTTCATTATGAAAGGGTCCATTCTCTCAATTCCTTGAAAAGTTTTCTCTTTTCTTGTTGCTCCCTAAGAAATCTCAGTTTTTGTGGTTAAATGTATGTAAATCACATTAGGGATCTCTTCTATCCTATGCTTTCCTTCACTAAGTTCCAATGTTAAAGATACATATCCGAGGTAAATGGTTTCTTCTCTCTTTGGCATTCTCACACTACTGTTCTTCAATTTATTTGCAGGTTGTAATTGATTTTACTGCAACATGGTGTGGGCCTTGCCGTATTATGCTCCCACTTCTTGAGGATTGGGCAAAGGAGTTTCCTCATGTCTTGTTTTTGAAGGTGGATGTGGATGAATTGAAGGTATGCTCCTAGTTGTTCATCTTAACGCATTAGAATGGTTCCATTCCCTTTGCATGTATTACTCATTAATGTTCACTTCAGATGATATTTTCCCGTTTATTATCTTGGTTGCCTTTGTTGGGTGGGCTGGGTTGTGGGCAAACCCTTCACATGGTTTTTTTTTTTTGGGAGCAGTGGTGGGAGAAAATTCATCATCTTGTTCTAGTAAAGGTTCAAGTGCAGCATTTGTGAGGATAGTGCATGCGGATGTGGATGTGGATGCTGGAAGTGTAGAAGCAAGAAACCAAGTCATGGAAGTCTATCTTGCATGACTCCCAAAATGCGATGACCTTGTCTTGATTTTTTATTTTTTTTAAATGACCTAGTATTGGACTTGTAAGCATAGATATCTATTCAGGGACATACTCGTCTGGACTGGTATTTTAGCATCCTCCTTCTTAATCAATAGATTGGAAATGTAAACAGGATGATGACACTTGAAAATCCATGAACACTATCAAAGTCTAATGTTCATATCATGGCTTGGGATCTGGCCACCAAAAGTTGAACCCCTTGTGTGCTATTTAAGGATATGTTAATTACTGACCAACAACATGATTATCCTTTCATTCAGTTTTTTTTCTTAGGAATATCCCTCTTTAAGTTTCTATTCTAGATTGCTCATATTCTTATCTAGATTGCCCAATATATTACGTTTTTGTTTCCCATCACTAAGGACCAAGGGGGTATTATTAGTCTTGGGTTTAAAACATCCATGTCACTTTTTGTGTTCAAAATCTCAGTGGCAGTAAAGGTATCGCTCAGCAAGGTTTGGTCTGAACCCAATGGATGGCCTAGCATATGATAATTTATCATTCACCAACCTACCACCTGTAGTAGATTAAAAAAAATTAAAAATCAAGAGTAAATGGCCTCCAGAAGACTAGTGGATCTAGTACTGAATGCTGAGGGAGTCCAATGACTGAGTACTTGAATTTTATATTTGTCCATGTCTTAAGAGCACCCTGTCATTCTCATGCTTGCCAACCTAAAGGCCCTGAGGTACCTGCACAGAGGTAGTTCAAGCAGATTACTTGCTTCGCTAGTTCACCACCTCTAGCTATTGCAAGCTGAACTCACTCGCTTGCTATGGCACCTCTACTCAGAGTGGCATTATTTCATATATTCCCCAATCAAACTGGTATGTTATGTGATTCATCTGAACAAAATGTTGGAAATTTTGTTGTGAAGAACATGTGGCTTGCATTTCACAGGTTCTTTTTTTTGTTTGCATTGTATATACACTGCGCTTCCATGTAACTGGAGTTCTCTTTCCTGTAAGTTGAATTTGTCTCTTGCACCTGTATGCATGATGAAGAGCGGCTCAATTTATACAAGAGACACGGAAAGGAGAAAAGTGAGATCTGTATTTTGAGGGAAGATTAATTGCTTGTGATTTTCTCATGCAATATGGATGTTTGCAGTCTGTTACTTCAGATTGGGACGTGGAGGCAATGCCAACCTTTATTCTGGTGAAGGAAGGGAACATACTGGAAAGGATTGTTGGTGTGAGGAAGCAAGAACTGCGCCAAAAGATCGAAGAGCACCATTCTACCAGCGCTGCTTGAGGATTTCAAACCAAGTGCTGCCTTTCTAGTCTTATTAGCTTTATGTTATCGTTTGACTGGCATGAACTTGTCTTTGTCATTTCGTGGTTGTTTGTTTCATGGTTATCACTCCTTAAAACTGGAAGTACATATGTTTGATAAAGATACCAGTGCTTTTATGTGATGTTTGGATTCCTTATATGGTATGACAAATTCGTCTATGTGGTGCCTGAGAAAAAAAATTTCCCCTTCTTTTCTTTTTTAGTTTTTAAGATGTTCTTTCGCATCTTTTGTTTGGAATACATGGCTAGATAGAACTTTCCACTGGTTGGGTGTCTGTGAATGGTTCTTTATCCCCCACTCCCTTTCCTATCCCTGAACCAAAAGAATTTAGAAACTGTTTTTTATTTTAAATTATTTTATGTAACAATTTATTATTTGGGAAGGTGTGGTTTGTATCGAGAAATGTAATTTCAATACTGGAAATATTTATGATCGCCTTAAAATGCATTTTGATATTTAATTATAAAATTTAAAATTTCAAAAATAGTGTAGATCGAGTAGGTCTATGAAACTTGAAAATCGACTGTTCAAAAATGTGTTACAAGATGCAATATTTCAAAAATTCGAAATCCATTTTTTCTTCGTGTCCTTGAGTCTTGATGTTGAGATGATCAATTTGAGGATATTTGGGCATAAAAACAACCACTGGTGAAATTTTTGAGGTGGACTTTAATTTGATTGTTTAGAGCTTCAGCTCTATATGAACTTTACCTTTAGTTATAGTATAAAATATAAATAGGATTGTATACAATAAGATTATTTACTTTTTATATAAGAGGTCACAATTTCTTACAACTTTTTGATGCTAAATTTGATAGTTTAGATGCGTTATAAATGCGTTACAAAGTTCAAAAAAAATTATTTTGAAGTTTGAGCTTGGTCATGGAACCCAATTTTACATCTAATGATCAAGTTTATTGCGATTATATTGTATCGGAGATAAATGATCTCCTTTTACAAATAGGTACTAAAAATTGATGCCGATGTAAATGAGATGGGAGTAGAAAAAAGAAACAAGCCTTTGGTGGTAACGAAAAGTAGTGGGTTGGGCACATTCTTTTAGATTTGGAGGGTGGAAATAAATGCCTTGGACCTCTGATGTCTAAAGTGGCTGGCAGAAAGGCTACAATAAATTCCGCTTACATGGATGACACGCCTGCTTAAGATAGGGAATATTTTGGGCTTTGGGTTGTGTGGAGGAAATGGAATCTGAGGGTGCTTTGGGAAGTGTGGAGGAAAACGGAAATTATGAAGGTTTTTGAAGGGTGGTTATTTTATGAAGAGGATTAAAGTAAAGATTTTAGATTTCATGTGGAGTTGGATTTCGATAACCAAAGAAGGTTGATTTCATCCTGAATCTGGAGAATATAGTTAAGATAAACACCCATAAGTTTAGAGCTTAAGGGTCCAGACTCAAGCTAAACTTAACTTTGATGATTGGGAGATCCAAGACCAACCGGGATGCGAGGTGAGGCAATTTAGAGGTTCAGTGAATTGACGGTGTAATCCCTTTCTTTAATCGATAAGCTTTCATAATTTTGTCCTTAAAAAAGAGAAACGATATGCCAAGATATTAGGCACTGGCAAGTCTTTTGCAATTTTGGCGTCGGATGCATGAAATTGCGGGACACCAAAATCTAATACCCAATCCCTCCTATGGGCAACATATGGTGATTGCTAGGGCTGGCAAGGGCCTAGGTTACGAATTGTGGCCCAAGAGCCAAGTTAGGGCGAGTGCCGGCCAAGTTTGGCCAAGCCCGACCCTCTTTCTTTCTTGTTTTTTCATTTATTTGTGGCCTGGCTGAACAGTTCTTATAGGGACGAGGGCTGAGCGGGGCCACAAAAAAAAAAAAAAATATATAGAAGGCCGGGCCAAATCAGGCCAACACTTGCCCTAGCACAGTCCTCGGGATATAGTTTGTGGCTCAGGCCCTATTTTTTTAAGGGCTAGGCTGCACTTGGCATCCCCTAACCCTCGGTGGATGCTGCTTGTCATACACTAGTATTAACCAATGGACAGAAAAGATTAACTGCGGTTACTGATGGTAGAGATCTACAGTATACATTTAATCACCACTGTCCATTTGGATAGGAGGTTCAAGGACGGATTGCATGGGATTCACTGCTGTATAAACTACTTATAGTGGTTTAAAGTTTAAACATGGCATATGCCAGTTTTAGTTCAACTAATGGATGAGTGAGAGAGAGAGAGACGGGTTCGTTAGTTGGAAATGTGCAAATTTCCATCTTAAAAATAGATCTTGGATCTAAAATTTTGAGATTTGTTGTATTCTCAACTATTGTTGTTATTATATATATGAAATTTTTTATTTTTGAAAGCTAAAAAAATAACACATTTTGAGGTAGAATAAAAACACCTTTTTTACATCCATCTCTAAAACGGATGCTTGATGCGGCATTTTGGCGAGTCAAGAGTGGGCTGACTCACTAAAATCGGGTACATATTAGTTTGGCCTGAAATGAACATGGTAATTTGTATATTATCAACGCAGGTGAATGTGATGTTTTCCACAAAAGTGGAGCTGAGTCGATTGTTGGGTGTATTACCCTCACCAGAAAAAACATCATCATGACAGTGAGAGATGGGAACAATTCCATGTGAGAAAATGGTCCAAATAATATATAGAGAGAGATTAATTAGCTAACCCCCGAAATGAACATATTAACACGTATATTATTAGCCCAGGCGAATTCTAGAAGCACAGTAAGTTGCTTTTCACTTTCAACACTGAAGTGGGTTTGTTGTAATGATAATGAGTGATTGGGGCCTGTAAATTCCACGTAAAAGAATGGTCTAAAGCACAATAATGATGTGTTGAAAGAGTGACACTGGGCCCTCTATTTCCCTCGACAATATGAGGCCGAATGATTTCCACCAAAGGCACACAATAGCCACATGAATGTAGAGAGAGAGATGGGGTCTCTAATTTCCATTGAACAGAGCATTAAGATATGGGGCCTACTAATAGCCCTGTGAATTGGAAGAAACCTTCACTTTCCCACACTTTTTCACTTTTAATGACAGAGCAATGTGCCATACATAATGTGGGAACCAATTTCTCTCTCTAACAGCAGGCAACAACAAACTAAAATGTCCCTACCACCGACATTTTCTCACATGGGCTTCACAAGCAGCACAACATCATCCACCATTACTTTTTTATATGCACAAACTATAACACAAAGACAACAACAGAAACACTCACTTTGTGAGAGATTCCCATATTCCTTTTTTTTCTTCCCTTTGAATTGGGTTCTCAGGCTACATCGGATCCAAAAACTAGAATCCAAGAGCCTCTTACACGACACAAACTAAACGCCATTACAATTCAAATACACAGTAACCCACCCTTGAATCTCCAGCTCTCTGTCAAACTCTTCATTACTCAACACCCGGTGGTCACCTACTCCATCTCCAATTCTGTACTCTAAATCATTTCTAAGCACTCATTTGCTTATTCTGAACAAGGTGTACAATCGAATCAATAAGAACAAGAAAGATAATTAATTAACGATAGAATTCAGGTTTGTTACCCTTCTTTTACAAGTTGGGTCCACCTGCACTGCACACAGCTTCGACAGCAACTCGTTTCATGATGTTGGGACATGGGTCTCCAAATATGTTAGTCGATATCGTAACTGAGCATCGTTGTCGGCCTATACATTTCTGCAACATGTTGCCATCCTTTAATTAAAGAACGAAGATGAAAGAAAGCAACACAACTAGTCTTCTCAGTCCTTACTTGTATAAACAAAAGAAGAAAATGAGACACTACTAATCTTATTGAGCCACTAACATAGCCATATTCCTCTGAATTTACAATATTTTAGAGACTTTAAAAACAAAGATCAATGCAGTATGGATGGTTACTACGATTAATTGCTAGGAATCTGTAATTACCTTTTGTAAGACGTCATGTGAGTTCGGAGAGTGGCAAGCTCCTTGTTGGAAGCTACCACAAGTTCCTAATGGGGTACCAAAGCTCGCAAATTTAATGGCTGAGATTGATTGCCCAGGGGAACAATGTAGATGAACTTTGGGTTTGATGACTGGCTGAGCTCGACCATAGGATTCAATGTGCCAATTTTTAACTACCGGATGAAACTCTGAGACATCAGCACACACACTTTCAACAGAGCGCCTTCCCAATGATATCCCTGATACATCTCCACCAATCTCCTCAAAAACTATGAGAAGATTACCAGTTGGCTGTAGCCAAGAACGTGGGACATGATACCTGAAACCATAGGTTACTTCTTCACATTAGTATTCCATAATAGTGACAGACATATAGATCTTTCAGAAAAGGAAAAATAGAATATCATACTTAATATGGAAAGATTTTTCCTCCTCGTTATCCAATTTTATGCCTAGAGAATTGAATGTGGGTTTTCAAGAAAAATTAATTACAAATTTTTTAAGTTCAATGAAAAAATAGAAGCTTTCCAATCATTCAAATTCTTACCAACGTTGAGTTGGATGGCCACAACCAGTTTGACATTTGTTCGGGCGGTATGTTCCAGTGTAATCACACGCACCACACTGCCCCTGTGCAAGATATGCGGGCCAATATCTTCCAATGCTTTGGCCATTTACCCATACTTGACCCTTATGCATGGTACCCATGTCCAATGCCAATGGATCATCTCCAGCCGGTGCATCAAAATATGCCTAAAACATCAGAAAACGAAAAAGGAAGAAAATTTAATTTCTCCTTTTGAAGAAAACAAAATCCACAATAGCATAATCAAAGCCAACATATTTCTTTTACCTTGTACCATGTCAAAGTTTGCTGCTGCTTTTGAGCAACCAATGAAGCCTTAATCCACTCCACAGAAGAAATTCCATTGATTGAGTGAAGACCCATAGATTCTCCTTTTAGACCAACCTATAAAAAGAAAATCAGTGTATCCATATTTTTCTCAATTATTTAACTATAATTTTTCTTTTTGCTATCAGGGAATCAGCAATAATTTTTGTACCGGGTATGAATAATGAATAAATCAACTCTCCAAATGATTCAAACCTAACCTGATAAGACCATTTCTGCCAGGTGATGTCCCTTCTCCCTTCATCAAGGCCCTTTATCGTAACAGGACCAAGGACTCCAGTATTCCACGTCTCAAAATGTGGCCCATTATTCTTGAGCAATAAAAGAAAGTGGAAATCATTAAAGACGAAGAAAATTAAATCTGCCTCTTTTTCTGCTAGGTAACTAAAGCTGTGCTCTTATAATAGCAGCAATTGAAAAGGAATGAGACTGAGCACGCAACAAGGAATGCTTACCGGCAACCCAACAGCCATGCTCAAAAGAGAGATTTTGTTAGTACCCGCCCTTAGGTTGATTCCACCACTGTATGTGAATTTTTGGTTCTCTCTACTTCCATAAGCACTCCCTGTTGTAGAGCCTCATGGACATTTATTTTCTTCTTTCAGGTTTTTTTATTGTTAAAAAGTTACATTAATGTAAATATATACTTAACAAGTACAACTACATGACATTGAGAGATTACACAAAAAGGAAATGTGAATAAATAATTGTGATGCTAAATGTGGTTTTTCCTGTAACAGATGAAATAAGTAGAGGGCAAGAGAGCATTTGAATAATAGTTTATTAAAGGGACACGCCAGCATACCAGACAGTTGCCCATTGATGAAAACATGCAGAGCATGGCCAGCGGACTGAACAGAGAGAACAGGAAATTGGCCATTTTGTAAAAACGATTCAGACGGGCTTATTTCAACACTGGAATAGACACAAAAAAACAAAAGTTAAAAAAAGATGATATGTCAAAAGTAAAAGATGGCATAATACTTCATAAAGAGCCAAAAAAAAAAAACAGAGAGAATGAGAGAGAAGCCTCCTTACCTTGTCATGTACCAGAGATAGTCTGTGGTGTCCCTGGTGACATTCAACTGTTCCAGCAGACCAACAGCAGTAATTGTATCATCAGAGAAGGCAGCAACATCTTCATCATACATGTCCCAAGAAAACGTTTCACTGTCACTAACTTTCATTTCCATCTGTGATGTTTGAACCCCAATCTGGAAAGTACGTTCAAAAGATGTTAATGCAAGAACAAAAAACTTAAGGGGGAAATGTTAGGGAAGCTAACATGTAATTGCTATCAGGCACTTCATAGCATGAATTTACAAAAGCTATCTTTCAACAGCTCTCACCAAGTAATAAACATAAAAAACAGATTGATATAATCAAATGTACTAATGGTTGCCCCACTCACCTTAGCTGTGTTGAAAACAACATTTCTGCAGTCTGGAAGAATACTGATTGACCAAGGAGGCAGATTATAGTGCACGTTATTAAACATAACTCTTGCGGTGGATCTAGAATCGAAATTTGCAAGGAAAGCAGCACATCCTCCTGAATCTGAGGAGAAAACAGAAGACTGGGAAGCCCGTGATAATAAAAAGTCAGTTCAACTTACAAACAAATCTTGAACAAATGCGTAACTGGATTTCATTTAAATATAACAAGAAAGGCAGGGGAAACACCTGTTGCAGGCTTCCTAGAGTTGTCACAATGGGATCGGCAGAGATCAAAGCCGGCTCACAAAGCTTAATGGCCCTATGCAGCTCTTTTAGGTGGCCCCATTTGGGTTGCCTTAGCAAACCTGCCAATAAGTAGTGAATGACATTGCCTATCTAATTTCTAATTTCCCATATGGGTTTCACCATGTGTGCAAACCAAAGCGGACTACTTCACTAGAGTCAAAATGCAAAAGGAAGAAATAAAAATTTTACAAGAAGAGACAAAAGGTGAGGGTAGTCACTTAGCAGAGGCTTATGGTTCACTTTATTATCATTTGGAATGGTAAAGAAAATTTCCAATTTCACTACCAGAAAGTACAAATGTACAATAAAATGTAACCAACTAAATGCAGAATCAAGGCCCAGCACCAACCAACACGTAAAAATGAAAAAGGACAAAGCCCATATTTCTTACCATACTCATCAATGGGAGCATCATAGTCATAACTGGTTGTAATAAAAGGCCCACCAGCTGTGCGTCCAAAATTGGTTCCACCATGGTACTGCATCAAACATTAAGTTCTAACTTACTCCAGCACATGCCCCAAGTTTCTAACTCAAAATTCCAAACCCAAAGTAACTTGATACTGATTTGATAGGGAAGCATAAGAACATAAAGAGAGATCCTACCATGTAGTAATTAACAAAAGATCCACCTTTCTGTACAAAGCGTGCAACAGAATATGCCAAATCTTGGACGGGACGCTCGGGGACTGAACCTCCAAACTCAGTGAACCTTTAAGCTCCCAACATAAGAGAAGATTAGGAAACCAATTCCTAATAAACTAGGTAGCTCTCTACCTAGATAACATCTCTGTTCAGCTTTTAAGTAACAAAGTTTAAGACAAGGAGATTACCAGCCACTCCAAGCCTCAGTCCACATTGTAGGTTTGTAAGGTTTGTTGGGAACAAAGGAATCACAGTAGAAACCATTGCATGTATTTATCTGTCTCAAAATTGGGGTGAACTAAAATCAGGAGAAAAATCTTGCAAAATTTTCAAAGTATAGCAAAAAATTCCTCAATGAAGTTGCAATCTCAAATAAAAAAGAACAAAGCAAATTTCCACTACAGAAGGGTTAATTATAAGGTAAACAAACAAAATAAAACAAATATAGCAGTTGGAAAGGGATATTCTCAAATCAAAAGCGAACCCACGAGAAAACAGACCCAAACTAAATGCATACAAGATATTCAATTTGAACCAATCTGAAACACAATTTAGAAGTGGGCCTTATATAAAACTTCAGTATCTCAAATTCAGAAGAATCAATTGCACTATTACAAAGAACAAAGTGAATGACACAAGAATTGATACTAACCACTGGATCAGGGGCGTCATCTTCTTTGCACATGACCCAAGGGACACCAGTGCCAGTTTGAACAGCCATGTTAGCAGCCCAAGTCATGTAAGCATGACCAGGAGGCCCAAATGCCTTGCTCTCTGGCCCATACTCGTTCTCTATCTGGAAAAACCGACGTCCAACCCAATAATCAATCAAATTATTCTTAGGAATCAAGAAAACACCAACCCAGCGTACAAGCAATAGTCTTAACAAAATCCTTCCCTGTTGAAACCAGCAAAAGCCTTGAATTGCAGAGTAGTGAAAAAAATGGCACCCCAAATAATGAATGAGAAAAGGGAAACAACGTTCTCCAGCCGGGGGAGAGAGAGAGAGAGAGAGAGAGAGAGCAAAAGTTTACAGAAACACAAAGGGCCTAAAAAATGGAACAAACATTTTCGACACAGTAATGCGCCATGGACCCAAAAGGCCTCAAATGCAGAGTAACATTAACAGAGTAATGCGCCATGGACCCAAAAGGTCGCAAATGCAGAGCAACGTTAACAGAGTAATGCGCCATAGACCCAAAAGGCCGCAAATGCAGAGCAACATTACAGAAAGAAAGAGGGGGGAGGGCGTCAAATGTACATGAACATTTTAGAGAGAGAAAGAGAGGTTCTACCTGGGATAGTATGATGGGTCCCCCTTGAGATTCATAGAGATTCTCGCTCTTCATCAGCTCCACAATCTTTTGGGTGAAGCCCTGCATTGCGATCTGCAGCTCCAAAAAGAAGCGTCAACAAAAAATTCAAGAGAAAATGAAGGGGGGAGAAGAGAGAGAGAGAGAGAGAGAGAGTTCTTTTGAGCCTTGAACCCCAAATGCATTACTAAAATTTCCAGAAAACCACAAAAATCAGAGCAAATGGGAAGCAGAAATAACCTTGAAAGGCTCATTATCAGTTCTAAAGCTGATACCCGGGACATATTTCAGCCAAACTGGAAACCCTCTGGAGAAGCACATGCCAAACAAGATCAATAAAAAGCCTCCGAAAAGAAAAAATAAATAAATATAGTTGTCTCAAAACACAAAGAAAAATCAAGAAGAAGAAGCAGGTCCAACTGAACGCACCCAAAGTTCCATTCTGCACAGGCATAAGGACCGATTCTCAGGTGAACATAGAGCCCAACCTTCTGCGCTGTCTTCACGAAGCGAACCAGGTCATACCTCCCCGAAAAATCATACTGCAACAAAAATAAAACACCAAAATGCAACAGAAACCGACCATGAATAACCACCAAATTACTCAGAAAGAAAGAAATTTCAGATAGAAGAGAGGAAGAAAGAGCATTGCTACGAACACCAAATCAAGGAAGCAACCAGAGAACTCTCTAAATCAGCTCAAAGAGAAAGAGAGAAGGAGAGAGTTAGAGAGAGAAATTGGACATACATTGCCAGGAGAAGGCTCGTGAACGTTCCAGAAAACGTATGTCTGAATTACATCGAGTCCTCCATCTTTGGCCTTCTGTATGAGATCTGGCCACATCTGCAAACATGAAAACAGGGCAATGAGAAAAACCCAAAACTGAACAATAGCCATGAGATCTGAAACCACAAAACTCAGAGCGAGAAAACCCGAAACTCAGAATGAATGCAAAAGAAGACGCGAGAGAAAGAAAAAGCCTGTAAACAGGAAAGAAGAAGAGTATAAAGACCTCGGGCGTGCTTCTCGGGTAATGTATGGAACCAGAGATGAGAATCCTCCTGTTTCCATTAATGACGAGAGACCTGTGATCGTAAGTAACAGCACAGTGTGCAAGCTCGGCAAAGGCCAGCACTGAAAGAAGAACGAGCACAGAGCTCCTCACCCCCATTGGGTGGTAGGAGAGAGAAAAAGAGAGAGAGAGAGGGGTGGAGGGAAATTTGAAGGTGAAATTGTTAAAGCTCAGAGCACTCTTTATTTATTGGCGCCTCTCTCTCTATATCTCTCTCTCCTAAGTCCAGCACATTGGATTGGATAGTAGGACCTGCTTCCCCTTTCCCTTAGTGTGGGTGGGTACCTCTCCTTTTCCTTTTTCTTTGTTCACCTACGTCCTCTCTCTAACCCACTTTCTCTCTCTACATGTCCTTTCCTTCCTCATCATCATAAATGATTTAGTTGTTTCAATGATGGAAAAAGTTTACATATGAGGTTGAGGCCCTAAACAATCAATTCAAATTAAACCGCACCTCAAAATTTCACTAGAAAAAATTTATTTTAATGTGAATCCATATTGTAATACATTATTTAGATGGTTGATTTTTTAGATTTTCAAATATTCATAGACCTACTTAATCTACATTATTTTTTAAACTTCAGTAGTTTTTATAATTAAAGATAAAAATAAATTTTCAAGCTATTATTAAAAAAAATTGATATTAAAATACCATCTTTTGACACTATCTAAAAATACCGCCTATATTGATTTTTTCTCTCTCCTCACCATCCATTTATCCATGCATGCTTCCATTATTACTAGCACCACGTTAATCCCGTTAGATAAAAGAGAGAAGGACACGAAAGTTATTGGGTCGGTAATTTGGTCCACTACATACTTATTGTCTCTATGGAGAGAAACTCATCATCTTTAGTGAATTCTATAGATTCTTGTTCAAAAAAATAAAAATAAAAATAAAATTAAGATGAGAGCCAACAGGCCATGTGACCCAACAACCCATTTCTTTAACCCTTGCCTTGCGGGAGATCTTGACCATAAATCCTTTACCCCGTTAATTTTCAACTAAACCTTCTAGTACTACTATTACCCAATCCAATAACAAAGTAATTAAATAAACATTGATTCGTCTTACTTTCTATATTACCTGAAATTTGCTCTTTACTTTCTCTTGTTTCTCGTTATAAAAAAAGAGTTTCTCTCTCTAAAACCTTAACCTTTATTTTGAGAACGACCGAGATTTGGTTTTTCTTTTTTCTTTTTCTCATGGCATAGGATGCGATGAGGCTTTCGGCTTGGCCGTACGAAGGCCGTCCACGATTGCAACATGACTTAAATTCATGCTAAATTAGGGCAAGGGAAATTTCGTCACTCACCTGAATTCTCTCTCCAACCGCATGTCATGACTCAATCTTGTATTACACTACAAATTCCCATTATCTATGCGACCTCTAATGTTACAGTACTTAGAGAGAGATTTTTAAGGGACGAAAATGTCCTTGATTTTGCCGGGATCACCGGGGTAGCTTTTGAGAAGAGTCCAAGAGAAAAGGGAATATTTGAGACAAAAAATCTGCAAATAGATTTTATACTTCAAGGCGGAGTATAGTGTGCTTGTATTCCCTCAGGAAAAACCCAATATAGGAGTGATTTTAGAGTATAAGAAATTCTTGAATTGAACTTTCCATGTAGTGAAAAAAACAGATGTCTCAAGATTAAACAGTCATCCAATTTTTCAAGACTTGGGATCTAAGTGTCATAAAACTCTAAATTCAAAATATTTTTTTTGAAAAGAATCATCTATTCTTAGGTGGTTCCCAAATTTTAGAGAGAAAAGAAAAAATCCCTTCATTAGGACCTTATGAGTGAAGGAGTAGATGCACAATATGCTCTTATAAAAACATAACATACAGGTTAAAAAAAAAATTGGAAAGAAAAGAATAATCAGATGGCAGTGGTGCCTTAGTGGAGTACCGAGTGTTGGATGGCATCTCAAACAGTCCAACAAACAAGTGTCCCCATTCTTTTCTCTCTCTTCACATTTGGTGGACCTGCCTCTCTCTTTTTTTCCATTTTTTGCCTCGTGTACTCTTACTAATCCTCTTTTCATTGCCACAAAACAAAGCAACAATGAATGGAAACTTGATTTTTAGAAAGAGAAGAAACAAAAATATAAGATCAGGTTTTAACTTTCTATACATCATCGTTAAGACTATAATTTTAGAGAGAGAAACGAACGAAAAAATAAGTTGGGGTGCCCATTTTTTAACTTCTTGCCCCATATCTGACCTCCGTAAAGAGGGTAAATTTTCACCTTACGGAGAGAAACTTTTGATCAGTGCGAATTCCAAATGGTTTGTGTCTGATTGACAATTTGGTTCCATCAAGGTCCCGCCCAAAAGGACGGCTGTAAATGAAACGAGATTGCTTATGACGCTTTCGGACGGTCTAGATTTATTGAGATAGCGATGGGTATAACCTCCATTCCACCACATGAGGTGGTGGAAACCCTAAAAGCGTTATTGGGATGGTCCAGAGAGGGTGGGCCACACCTTTGGCGTCGGTGCTTTCGTATAGATAGAAGATGTCGCTCTCTCAATACTCTCATCCATGTATTATGATGCCCCTTGTCTCTTTACTTATCTTTTTCTCTCTCTAGCCCCTTTCTTATTTTCTCGCTCCCTACACTCTCGATCTACTTGTGGGTGGCAATCGCCTTGGCCTCGGCCTAGCCACCCTTGGCCTTGGCCGGGCCCTTGTTCCCACAGAGCCGGCTCATGCATGGTTCTAATCATGTTAGGTTGGGTTGAACCAAGCTGGCATTAGTCTTGAGTTGGCATGTCATAGTTTGTGGCCGATAAAGGTCGCAATGGACCCGGACCCCACATGGGTCAGGGTATGGGTCTAATTTTTGAACCTGACGCTAGGTCTAGGTCCAATTCTATCCGAATGCTGTTTTGGTCTGGGTCTGAATCCGAATGTACCTGACCTATACCCATAAATCGTTGGAGATAAACTAGTTAAAGATTTACTCTTTTGGATGTATCAAAGATAATATATAATAAAAAACTTGTAGTCATCTTTAGTTATTAATCAATAAATCCTTAAAATTTAATGGCAAGAGATTGTGATCTTGTCGTCAATGATATGAGTGTATGATGCCACTAACGCATCAATGTTAGTAAAGTACCCTGCCATGGTACAAACACGAGTTTGATAAAAAAAAAAAAAACTTATAGTCAAAGTGATAATAGAGCCCATTAAACTCAATACCCGAAGGCGGGTCCAACTTTTAAACGCAAGAAATTCAAGTCCAAAACTTGGACCCAAATAATACTTAGGTGTGGGTCCAGCCATACGATGCCAAACCTTGTGTTAAAGGCCCTATTTTTTAAGGTCAGGTTGGCCAGGCCGCCCAGACAATTGGCAGCCTTTATGTACAAATTGTAGCGTGATTGATTCAAATTAAAACCTATCTCCTCCCCCATGACACGAGGACGCATTTATTTGTTCTAATCCTCGACACGAGGACGCATTTTTTGTTCTAACACTTCTTCGTGGTCGAGTTGGCTTACATCTCTCCTTCTCTCTCTAACTTCTTCTTTGAGTGGGTTGTCTCCCTCTCTCTCTCTCTCTAAGGCGCCGTGAAGTTCCGTTTACTGTCCAGCCCACTAGCCTCTATGCAAGAACCACGTTTCGTGCACGCCGTACCATTGGCCCCTCGAGTTCCGTCTCTATTGAAGAATACAGATATCTCACCAAATCTCTCCCTTTTGTTCATAGAAGGAAAGCACGTTTTTCTCTCCTCTCTCTCTCTAGAATTTATCATCTTTTTACTAATTTTTGTCGAATTTGTGCAAAACGAGGTGGGAATCCGTTCGTTTGAAAATACCGCTAAGATAAAACATTAAAAACGAGATAACCAGGCGATGAAATTTAGGCAAACATAAATTCAGTTGTTATTAATGTTTTAGAAGCTCGACCGTCCTTTTCGAAATATGGTCAGGGTGGACGATTCACCAATTTGAATCGACATATCGGATTGATTCTATGTTGTCAGAACCGATCCAAAATATTTAAAATAAAAATTATCGAATAATAAAAATAAATATTTATAATGAGATTATTTACTTTTTGTACAAGGTGATCACATTTGATCTTGACTACTGGATGTGATATTGGGTGGCTGCAATTATTTTATGCTCAAAGTCCAAAAATATTTTTTTTTCAAACGGTACAACACATCCAAATTGATAGATTTCACATCAAATAGTTGTAAGTAATTACGACCTCTATGTATGAAAGGTAAATTGTCTCATTATATTCAATCCCATAATAAAAATACAATGGGTGTTCAGTTCTTGACGGATACGGGTTCCTTGATAAAACTAGCCAATTCCATTCATGTCAAACTGATTTTCAATTTCAACAATGCATTAGGTAGCTAGGGACCACTTCATGACAGATACCCCGGTCCCCTGACAAACCTAGCCAAGTCAAACTCATTCTCGATTTCGACAAGGCACTGGGTTGTTAAGGACTGATTTATGGTCCAACCTGCAATTCTCAATCAGGACTACCGAGTTTTTAAAAGGGTGTAGTTTGCATAAAGTTGCAACCTTAAACAATCCAATTAAGATGCACCTTTAAATTTCATCATAAATATAATTTTAATATAAAAAATTATTAGGATAGCATTAGAATTTATTTTCATCTCTAATAATAAATTTTAATCTCTAAAAGTAGTTCAAATCAAGTAGATCTATGAATACATAAAAATCTTGAAAATGGACGATCTAGATAATATGTTGCAAGATACACTATTTTGCGAACTCAATACCTTGTTTTCTTTTTATATTCATACATCTCGATATTGAGATGATCAATTAGAAGGTTTTCCAACATCCAAACAACCTTTTATGATAGAGTTTTTTATGTACATCTTCGAAAAGGTATTTGACTTCATTATCACCAAAGGGTAGGGCCCTAATCCCCACTGAATTACTACTTTGAGAATGGTACTAAAGTTGTGGTGGTAGCACTCCATGCCATAGTCACCACGTTGTGGTTTCTATTCCCAACACTAACATTACCCTACCAATACCTTCAAAGTGCTAACTCTCAATCTACTTAAAAAAATGGGGGCATGTCTTCCCTATTAAATTATCCAAAAAATACCTCATTTAAACTTTTTTCCTTTTTAAAATAGAAAAAGTTTATAGAGAACCAAGGCCCTAAACAATCAAATTAGAGCCTACCTCTAAAATTTCGCTAGAAGAGGTCGAT